TCAGAAAAATAAGCTTTCCATGAAGACTTTACAAGAAATCTACTAGAGGATTTTCTCCAACAAAATAAGAGAGAAAAAAAACATGGACCCAGCAAACAGATGGAAGCTGGCAACCAGCATGGAAGAGCTCCATCGTAGCAGCTGTGCCACAAGCTGAGAGAGCAATCCTTCCAGATGTTCGCAGGAAAACTGAGGATTCTTGTATCATTGCAAATACAGGGTACAAATGCTGTGCCATGAATTTCCACCAGTAGAATACATAAACATCAAAAGTTCAGGCCTGCCGAGAAATGGTGGCATGACTAAAAAGGGTCTAAATTTTTCATTACTTTCAAAAAATACTAAGCTTTCAGTTAAACAGAAATACTATGACATGGAATAGCTGGGGATCCATATGCTGGTTATTCTCCTTTTGCCCCTCTAAATCTATTCTTCACCCTTCTTTGCCCTGTTTCCAGAGAGGCTAACTTCTAGGGACTGTTTCATCAGGCTACTTTGGGCCCTTGGCTTGAAATAGGGTTTGGTCAAGAGGAAGCACTGATACACCATCAGAGGGTAGGAGGTGAAGACCAGATTATGTACAAACCCTTTCCTCCCCTCTGCTGCTTCAGGAGCTGTTCTGTTTTTCTGTGGCTGTATCTCTTGCTGGGTGAGCCCTCCTCTATGGCTCCAGGACCATTCCTTCCCTCTTGTTTCTTCAGGCGACGGGAGGCAATGACTCTCCACAGTTGCCATTTCCTAGGAGCTTCACTCCTTCCCAGTTCCCTATATCTGCCCATACCTTTGTAAATCATCCCGTTATTAAACTCTACTCAATTAAAACCTTTGATTGTGACCCTAATAAACTTCTAAGTCTTAATAGAAACAGTCGAACTTTTGCAAAGGCATTAGTATAATACTGTAGAAGGTGAATTGTTTCTTTTTAAATCTTCCCTTCTGAGATTATCTAACAAATCATTTGTGGTGTGGGGGGGGGAGGGGGCTGGGGATGGTATGGGGGAAGAAAATAGACTTTAAGAGGGAGAAAGGAAAAAATATATTTTATTTTAGGTTCTTAGTAGTAATCAGACAGACAAAAAGATTCTTTAATACTGGTGCTTAAAAAGAACTGTATTTTAAAGAATAGGAAGGAAGGTTATGCAATGCTTAACATTAACAGTTTAGTAAAGTATATATTTACTACTTTATTACTTTGCGTGCTAAACATGCTAAAAAATAAATTCTTTTATTATTATGATATATCTCACAGTCCTCACTCTAATATTGCTGTTTTGTTCTCTATTCCTGTGCAAGAAAACTCAGAAGTAATAATAGTTATAATTAAAGTAGTTGTAATCATAATATACATATAATCTTACATCCTGATTTCCATGTAAAAGTATATAATGAGCATTTTTCCATGTTGCTATGTAATTTTCATAATCATTACTCTCAAATTCTACACTGTATCTAGTCATATGGATATACCATAAATCACAAACCACTGCTGCTCCATTTTCTTTTAGGCCATTTTCCCATAATCTATATGAAAATTGTTACTGTGCACAAAACATTAAAAAAATCTGATAGCCCTGTTCTTTCCTTAGATTAGTAAACCAAGTTTGGACTAAAGTCTTGCTCTAAGAGGTTAGCAGTGAGTCTGTGTGTGCTGAGAATCAGAGGAGCCTGGTGGAGAAGCCATCTCAGAGAAGAGGGAGCTGGGGACCCAGACATAGACCAATAACAATGCTTGAACTCCGAGAAGGACAGAGGTTTCAAGTACAACAGTTGGTCTGTTCCCAGTGAACAGCGGCATGGCCTGTTTCACCAAATATCCAGATGATGGATGCACAGAGCCACACTCTTTGGGGACCCATGGATCTCAGTGGGAAATAGAGATTTTCCTGCTCCCAGGGAGAACACAGAACACCATTACCTCTCCAGGGGCCCAATGATGAATAGCATCAAAAGCATCCACACCTATACTTAGCCTCTATGGGGAGCTTTGAGGACTTCAGGGCAGTGAGTGCCAGCTGCAGATGGCCCCTGTGGCAGCAACAGCCCTGAAGTGCCTTCCATAGCTGCTGGCAGCAGACACTGCGCAGAGAGCTGGAGCCACAGCCAGGGCACTGTGGCTTCCACATCATCCAAATGACTGTTCAAAAGCAACCCTCCAGAAATTCCCCAAAATAATTACAGAAACCTTACAAGGCTGTCTAGCAATTAGAACAGAATTTTTTCAAACAACAACTTGTTAAATATTAATGGCGCTTTTAATTATTCCTCTGGTGACGGTAGCCTAGGAATGGTATTGTACTTTACAATTTTTATGTTAGATGGAAGGTACGCAGACAGTCACAACATTGTTCTCTAACCTCTTTGAAATATTTCACATAAAAGATGAAATAAGGGGGGAAAAAATGTATGCTTCAACAGAAGGAGGGTAAGTATGGGGAATTGACACAAAGTTCTCTCAAAGAAAAATTTGCTATTAGACAACAGGCATATAAAACTTTTCTGAAAAAGAAAACTCCCAAGGGCTATTTTTCAGCTACATGAGGAAGTTTAACAACAGTTGTAAGTTCTCATGATTTCAATAAAGAATATGAATAAGCCCCAAAGAGGAAGGCTTCTAAAAGACAGATGCTGTGGAACTGCTCATTTTCTTGCCCTAAGAGAAGGTTGCCAGCATTCAACTTTTAGGTTGAAAGTCTAAATTCAATTTATTTTATGGCTAAGACATTTGACATTAACACAACAATATCTGTAGCCAATTTGCACATCGCCGATAAGAAAAAATATCAAAGGTTCCAGGCAAGATGGTAGAGTAGCTAAACGCTGTGCTCGCCTCCTCCCATGACCACATTAAAATTACAACTAAATTATAGAACAGTCAGTCTGGAGAACCATCTGAAGACTAGCTGAATGAAAGTCCTATAACTAAGGCTATAAAAAAGCCACGACAAGACTGGTAGGAGGGGCAGAGATGTGAAATGGGCTAAAAGTAAAACTGTCATTATTTGCAGATGATATGATACTATATAGAGAGAACCCTAAAGATTCCACCAAAAAACTATTAGAACTGATAAATGATTTCAGTAAAATAACAAGATAGAAAATTAATATTCAGAAATAGGTCACGTTTTTATACACTAATAACAACTACCAGAAAGAGAAATTAAGAAAACAATCCCATTTACAGTTGCATAAAAAAAAAAAATTTTTTTAATTTAAAAAAACCTAAGAATAAATTTAACCAAAGAGGTAAAAGATCTATACTAGGAAAATTATAAAACATTGAAGAGAGAAATTGAGGACACAAATAAATAGAAGCATATACCATGTTCACAGATAGGAAGAATTAACATTGTTAAAACGTCCATACTACCCAAAGCAAACTATAGATTCAATGCAATCTCTAGCAAAATACCAACAGCATTTTTCATAGAAATAAAATAAATAATCTTAAAAGTTATATAAAACAACAAAAGTCCCCTAATAGCCACAGTAATCTTGAGAAAGAACAAAGTTAGAGGTATCATACTACCTGATACCAAACTATGCTACAAGGCTAGAGTAATCAAAACAGCATAATACTAGCATAAAAACAGACACATAGATCAATGAAACAGAATAGAGAGCCCAGAAATAAGCCTGTACCTTATATGATTAATTAATCTATGACAAAGGAGGCATGAATATTCAATGGGCTAAAGACAATTTATTGAATAAATGATGTTAGAAAAACTGGACAGAACATGCAAAACAAAACAAAACTAAACAAAACAAAAACTAGACCACCTTCTTATACCATATATAAGAACTCAAAATGGATTAAAGACCCAAAACCTAAAACTCGTAGAAGAAAACATAGGCAGTAAACTCTCTGACATTGCTTGCTCTTAGTAATTTTTTTTTCTTATATATCTCCTTGGGCAAGAAAACAAAAGAAAAAAAAAATAAATGAACTACATCAAACTAAAAAGTTTTGTACAGCAAAGGAAACCATCAACAAAACGAAAAGACAACCTACCAAATGGAGGAAGATATTCACCAATGATACAGCTAATGAGGGGTTAATATCCAAAATTTATAAAGAACTCACACAATTCAATACCAAAAAAACAAACAATCTAATTAAAAAATGGGCAGAGGACCTTAATAGACATTTCTCCAAAAAGGACATACAGACGGCCAAAAGAAAAGGGAATTCTTGAGCACTGTTGGTGGAATTGCAAAATGGTGCAGCCACCATGGAAAACAGTATGGAGGTTCCTCAAAAAATTAAAAATTAAAAAATTAAAAAACCTATGACCCAGCAATTCCACTTCTGGGTATTTATCTGAAGCAATCCAAACCACTAACTTGAAAAGATATACGCACCCCTATGTTCATTGCATTTACAGTAGCCAAGATATGAAAGCAACCTAAGTGCCCATCAATAGATGACTAGATAGAAAAGATATTGTAGAAATATACAATAGAATATTTCTCGGTCATAAAAATAATGAAATTTTACCATTTGTGACAACATGGATGGACCTAGAGGGTTTTATGCTAAGTGAAATAAGTTAGAAAAAGACAAATACCACATGATCTCACTTATATGTGGGATTTAAACAACAAAGTAAACAAAGAAACAAAACAGAAACAGACTCATAGCTACACAGAACAAACCGATGGTTGTCAGATGTGAGTGGGGGTTCTGTGGGCTGGATGAAAAAGGTGAAAGGATTAAGAAGTACAAATTGGTAGTTACAAAATAGTCGTGGGCATGTAAAGTACAGCATAAGGAACATAGTCAATAATATTGTAAAAACTATGTATAGTGCCAGGTGGGTACTAAACTAATTGGAGAGATCACTGTAAATTATATAAATGTCAACCAGTAGGCTGTACACCTGAAACTAATATGAAATAATACTGAATGCCAACTATAATTGAATAATAAAGAATTGATAGATAATAAAAACAAAACAAGAAAGAAAGAAAAAAATCAAACATAATACAAAGACTAGTCATAAAGGTAAAGGGTTTTCCCCAAGTATATTTTATTAAAAACATGTGAACTTTCCTCTTTCGAATTGAATATATTCTAAAGCATTTAGAATAAATGAATTAGGATGCTTTGGGTTACAAGCAACAGAAGTCCAACTTGAACAAAGAAAAAGGTAGTTCATTGAAAGGATCTAGGGCAATTCCTCACAGAATAAAAGGGAGAATGGAATGGTTGTGTCTGCATGTGGCTGAAGTAGAGCTGGCTTTGGGGTGACTGGCTCCTGAGACTGGAACCCAGCCAGGACTCACTCCTCCTTGTACTGCAGCTTTCCTCAGTATACTGGTTCCATTCCTTTTCAGATGAAGATGGCCTTCCTCCATAGGGACAGTGGCCATAGGTCCCTCCAAAATATCTTCTCAGACCTATTTGTTTAAAAAATCCTAAAGGCTCTAGTTGGCCCAGTTTCGGTCACTTTCCATTTCTCTGTGGCCAATGGTGTCCATCCTCTAGCCCAGTCTCAAGTCTGCGGATTCTACCAATCAGAAGGGAAAAAGAGCACAGACAGGGCCACTGGGCAGATATATGTGAGGCAGGCTGACTCCATTTGTGACTACAAGAACAGAGATTAAGAAAATAAAAATTACTGACAATCTCATCACCCTCAAATTAATATTTCTGAATAAGCATTCTATTCTGGTTTGTCCATTTGCATACATTTTAGTGTACAATGCTGTCACAGAGACACTTAAAAATACATTGTTTTGAAATCTATCTGAAGAAACAGGCTTTAATACACAAAAAGAATGCTTCTCTCTTGGGGATTCTTGGGGTCTAGTCCTACCTAACGGACTATTTCTGTTCCTGAATTTCCATGCCTCTGGTGGTATAAAATATCGAATACTATCAAACTGTCACTTTAAATGTCTACATTATCCAAAGTGGTCTCTTATCTAAGTACTTTTCAGGTACAAGATCTGATTCAGGTATAGGCCTGAATTTCCTTTCATTTATTTGTTCACCAACATATTGAAAGCCTCTGTAGACCAAGCACTGTTCTAGGCTCTGTAGAGTTGGTAGGAAACAAACAGATCAAACCCCTGCCTCTGTGGAGTCAGTAAAACATTGTGGATGGAGGAAAAACAATTCCAGGATAATAAGTAGGTAGGCAGTCCAAATGATCAAGATGACATTTTTAAAATGATTATTTTAACTCTTTATAATCACTGTACTTTTGAAAATTCATAGTAAATAAAATAGACTAGCCAAGTAAGTCTCAGCAAGAAACTAAAGGAGTTTTAGTACTTTGATAATTATTTTCCTAAAATGATGGAATAAAATATTCCAATAGCAAAGACCTTTGCTTATCAATACTTTGGGTAAATGATTAGATTTTGTTAAATAACTTCCTCCCCTCAAAGGACCATGATGGTTTTAACTGACACAGGCACAGACATTACATGGCCTTTACTTTCTGCCATCATGATTACATAAAAATGTATCTCCACTCTTACAGGACACAGACATTATAAAATGAAAACTTTCATTTATATTTATGAAAAAATAACTTTTCAATTTTACAGCTTTATTTTTCTCATTTGGAACTATCTGCTTTTAACTTTATTATTTTTCTCACACTTGTGCTTCTTCCTCTTTATGCATTCTCACATTCTTGTATTTTCAGTTTCTTTTTAAAAGATTTAAAGTCTATGAATTTACCTCTGAGCAAAATCCTGGCAGAAGCACATCAGTGATCTTATGCTCTAAATATTTTGTAATTGTTTTACATTTCCTCCTTGGTTCCACAGTGACTTAGCTGGGTGCCTTTTTTTTTTTTTTTTTTTTAATCTCTAAGTAGTTGGAATATTTGCCATTAATTTGGGACATAGTCAGAAAATATGATGGCTTTTAATATTCCTTGAGGAATTTACTGTTATTTTTCTGTGTGCCTTAGTACATGATTGATTTTTAACTGCTTATATGTACTTTAAAAGGTGATATATTCTGTTTACAGAGGCACAAAGTTTAAAATATATTTCTATTGACCTAACCCTATTACTTATTATTGTCTACTTCATCTAACAAATTGAAAGTAGGGTGACGAAGCCTTCTTTTACGACTGTTCTGTCCATATCTTCTGTATTATAAGTGTTTGTTGACATTTGAATTACGCATTTATAAAGAATTTAACTGTCATATCTTTACTGTGGTATATTCCCTTTGTCAAATGTGGAACATTTGTTTCACACAGAAAATGTATTTAAGACAATTATTTAGGTGTATCATTTTTATTTAACTTGTTTCCATTCTTACTTCCAGTATGATTTCCTCATCCTTTTTCTAATTTTATTTTTCATTTTCCTGGCAAATATCTTGAATTACCATATTCAGGAAGGTATCAGATATCAGGGTTTCTAAATCTTTGCCCGTGCATGAATATTTTCTATTTCTTTTCAAACTAGATGGCCTAGGGGAGCATATGTATCAGAGTCTCCAAACCTCACACCTCTCTGGAAATTCCAACCCCTCGGCCAAGAATTTCTGCTAAAGGTAATGTTGTATCTCTATCTGGTTAACATCTATCAGTTGTCTTCTCAAGTGTACTTGGAACAGGTAAGAGTTTGAGAACGAGTCTTTTAGAATTTAGTGTCCATTGAAAAGACTATGGCTACATTTTGTTTCACAGCAACCCGACTTTCCATTCTGAGGTCCCCGGCCGGGCCTGGGCCAAGGCCATCTCTGTGGCTAGTACTGGATGGCACTGGGATTGGCAGCCCCTCTGGACCCACATGCAGTGAGGAGAAGGAGTTCTCTAAACAAACGGCAGATCTGTTACTAGAAGGTGGGGGCAGGGATGCCAGGCAGCCAGAAACCACATGGGTCCACCAGAGACAAACTGATGGGAAAGGGGTTTCACTAAACTGAATGAGATGCCTATGGGATATCTTCTCAGGATTCTCACCAAGAGTTTTTATATTATGTGATTTAAACCTAAGGGATTGGATTGAGGTCATTTCTGGAACTTGGACCTCATTTCTTTTTCTAATGTACACACATCTGTTTACTTAGCTTGGATAATACCTATCAGTTGTATAGAACATGGATATTATTTTTTTATTCTGAATGAAATTGATTGGATAATTTGAACTACAGAAGATTAAATTCACTTATATATCCCTGCTGTCACAGGAAGCAGACATTATTATGCTAGGCTGAGTAGTGGGGGATTTTTGAATTTGGCATTCGATTTAACGTCTCGAGTGTCTTCTCATCACTATTTTCTTATTTTCACAATATGGAACATCTGTTTCATATAAATAAATGTAATAAAGACAATGACTTAGATGTATATGCACATCTTGTGCCATGGACTAAGTTTAGTATTAATTTAAGCCATTTATTCTGGAAGGGAGGGGGATATTTACTGGTGGGGACCGCAGGGCTAACTGAAGCGGAGTGGAGATGGGAATGCTTTCATAGTCAGGCACTTAGTGCATAGATTATCCCCACAGCTATCCTCATGCTTGCTAATGCAAAAACGAAATTAAAATAAAATTAAAATGGCTAAGGAAAAATTCTTACAATACCAAATGAGTACAAAAACTAGTATTAAAGAGTTACTAATGGCAATATAACAAAATAAGTAACACTAACTAAAAGCATAAATATCAACTAAAAAAATAAGTTCAGCTAAAACACATATGTTCAAATAGAATCCACTGTAGCAGGTCGAGATGTGGTTGACCACCGCACAGTCTCTGTTCTGCTGGATGGACCACATGAGCGCAGAGTTCCCAGCATGGATGCCTAGAGCTTTTCGTGGAGAACGGAGACTGATGCCAAGGTCCACACTGAGTTTTGGTGTCTTAAACTCAGACAGTCCTGTCCTGTAAGCCAAATGGATTCCCTAAATATTTTCCAAATTTGTTGCTGACATACACATCTTTTCCCATCCTACATTATACAGGCGATTCTATTTTTAAACCAAAACCAGGACTTTATTATTACTCCTAACAAATGTTTTGGTTCTTTATTTCAGCCTCTGCCATCCAGAATCTTTGATAAAGGGCTTTTCCTTTACCTGTAAGTTTCTGGCAAATTTGCAAAAGTTACTTTCTGTATCCTCCTCCAAAAAGCTGATCAAAATAAACAGGACGCAATTTTTAACCTATAGTTTGAATGTAATATATACATTTGTAATTCTAAGAAAATGTCCATTTTTCTCAGTGTTTATAAAGGAAAACACACATGCCCCTGTTTCTCTGCTTCTGGGGGTGAATCTTTCTGCTGAAACTGGCGAGATGAAACTTTTGGAATCTACAAGACTAGAGGTGGGTCTAATAGCCTACCTCGGAGGGCAGGGCCAGGGAGAGGGACACTGCAAAGGAATTCTCAGGCCGTTTAGGCCTGTCTAAAACTATGGTGAAGGGTTAAAGAGGTGAGGTAAGAAACAAGAGGCCTGGCAAAGTCCTCGACAAGGACGCTTTCTCCTATTGGTGCCTTTTGTTGCTGCTAATGCTGTTTTTCTTTTTAGCTACGTAATAATATAAAGAACATGGGGGCGGGAGGGAACACATTTGTTTTATAACATCACCACAGAAAAAATCAACTACAGCAAAAGCTTGATACCTTTATAACTTAAGACTGGCTCATGATGTCCATCTCCCCAAATTAGGAAGAGAAGCAGCAAGAATAATCCTGTCCCCCATGCTCTGGAAAAAGTGAGCACGTTCATCAGTTTACCTTGTCTCAACAAGAAGTAAGAATGAGGAAAAACATTCCAGAAGCTTTATCAATATACAACCACCTTAGCCATAAAGAACTAAACCAAATACAATAAAGTTGAAAATTCAGCATTTCTAAACATTTCACTTTTACTCAGATCTAATCAACAAGTTAACAATCTATTACTCCGCCACAAAACTCTTTTTACTAATGAAAAAAAGGACACACAACCTGAAGACAATCTAATTTTGCTTTATTGAATACTATACCACATCCAATATTTACAGATGTAATTAAATGAAATTTATATGACTATCATATGGATCATTTAAAAAATTAATCTGAAACACTCAATACAATAACTAATTCATAATTTTTCAGCCAATATCCATCATGGTTGATTTAATAAAAACTATTTTCAAGAAGAGTTAAGTCTGAGGAAATATAAAAACATTCAAAAAAATATTCCGTATCTAGTCATAATCTTCCAGTTTTTCTGTAAAAGAAATCAATAACAATTATAGACATTCTGGCTACCATGAATTACATATAGATTTTTCTCAATTTCATGACTACTTTCTTTAATGCCGTATTTAACTTTTATCATAGTTTCGTGATAGGCTTAAATATTTTTCCATTATCATAGTTTTGAGATAGGCTTAAATTTTTTTTTTTTATGTTTAAAAGGAATATATATCCAAATATAAAACCAGCTCCTAAATATTACTTTAAAAATAACAAGGCATGTGGCCACATGTTATTATCTTGACTCTCGATTGTGATGGTCCATAGAAGGGAACAAATGGACTACAAAATGAGAATCTCCTAACCAGTCCTAAGTGTGACAATATAGTATCACCAGATGCAGTCACAGACATTAGGAGAACATGAGAAATACAGCACCTACCTCTACATGTCTGAGAGAATACCAGGGATGTGTGGACTAATGGCCCTAACTCACATCTGCAACAACATTCTTAGAATAGAATTACAAAAAGTGTGGAGGTCCAAGTGGCAGAAGTGGGGCATCAATTTGTCTAACTACACAAATTTAAAGATCTCTATTTCTCTCTGGTTTTAGGTGAGCTAGTTTTACTACCCATACACAGAATTAAGAAATTTAACATTTCTTATCTTTAGAACGTGTGGGCTGTGTTATTATCCAGAGTTCTCCCTTTTCTTTTGAAAGATCATGGTATTTAAAAATGTATTATTATTTTTTGGACAACCTAGACATTAAAAGGCAAAGCATTAAATCCTATCTATACGTCTGAACCATTTGAAAAATACCGAAGATAAAATAAGTGTCAGTGATAGCAACTTCTATAGTATTAAAACCCTGAAAACTAACAGCTTTTAATGATATTCATTGTTGCTAGACTAACACTGCTGGAGGGGCATATAAGCATGACTTAGAAATTATAATGGAAAAAATATCATTGATTATCCACAATTTAAAACCATTCACTTCTCAAAAAGATTCTGGAAACGATAGTGGTGCCTGATTTTATATATATATTTAT